AGAGAGAGAGAGAGAGAGAGAGAGAGAGAGAGAGAGAGAGAGAGAGACTGCATTTCTACACCGATAGCTGGAAATACAAGAGCTGTATCTACATTCTACACATTGAGGAGCCCATTTAGGGGGTTTTACCCCATTTTGTCAGTAATGAAATGGAGGGAATAGGGGTCTAAATTCAGCCAGTTGTTCCTTTTTCATTCTTCTTGTACAGAAAAGTGACAACAATGCTGTATATCTAAATGCAGCATTCTGCAACATCTATAAATGGAAGCTGTGGGGCAGATAAAATGGCTGTTTTTACAAAGCCTTTTGTATATTCAATGTGATCACATAAGCACTCAAAAAGATATCACTTCAATTGCACCTCCATCTTGATTTTTCTTTCTATTTTCTGCCACCACCACAATCTAGGATGTTGCAAGTAGTATTGTCTATAGGGCTCCACATCCTGAACCCCTATATCTGTTATCATTGGCCATACTGGTTAGGATTTGCCAAGAGTTGGTTCAACAACATCTCAAAATCACCAAGCCCTCTACCTCAACTCTATCTCATCGGATGGGTTTTTCTGCAGGACACATGGCTATTTCTTCGGTCCAGTGGAGAATGTCATTCAGAATCAAAATGACGTTAAGCATTAAAGCAGACAGCTGCACAGGAAGTTCTTCTGGTTTTCAAGGTTAGCAGAATAATTCTGGGTCATTTTGAGGATAGCGAAGTTTGTGTTATTATATATAGAGGAATGAGGGAATGACTTTGAAGAACAAGAAGAGCTTCTATCAAGGCAATGGTCAGATAAAAGGGGCCTGAACCCAGGTCAAGAAAGTAACTTGAGAAAACTTGTCAGACTGGCCCTTCTCTAGTTCTCATGAAAATAAAGTAAGGAATGGGGAAGTGTTGAGGTATTCCCCGTAAGGAGAATGAGTGCACTCAGGGAAACGTAGTGAGAGTGGTGAGGAATAACACACAACTAGCATACTGATACACTGAATAGTAAAATGTAGGTTTTACTTCCAGTAAATGGGTAAACAA